TAACCACTATCCATCTTTGCTTATAATCCGTTTATGAATTCACTTTTTTTCTCCCTCTCTGTTCAGTTTACTTTCCTATCACATGACATACGCACATTATCAACATAAACCGCTTGATAGTAAACAGATTATAAGAGTTTACATGTAAGCTTAATGTTGAAATTATCTTTTATTTAACTAATCATAACTACTAGTTAATTGACGACCGGAAATATAAATATCAACAAAAATAACTGTGAACATAGGGATTAATAAACATATCGAGCTTAATGATTATAATTTATCGATGGATTGTCTTTAGGAAAACTATATTACTTTTTTTCACCAAAGACTGACGTCACTGATAGCTGACATTGAGGAGCAAGCAACACTGAACAAATGTTTCCTCCTCGTATGATACCTGTTTAGACTTCACAGATGACCTGGCTCATCTTTCGCATGGAAGTGCAAGAGAAGACGACCAGTGTAACAGCAGCCTCAGCAACAGTAGGTCTCAACATACACAAAGGAAAAAACAAGATCCTCTGATACAACACAACATGCACCAATCAACTCACACTTGACGGAGAAGCTTTGAAAGATGTGAAAACCTTTACATATCTGAGCGGCATCGTTGATGAACACGGTGGATCTGATGCAGATGTGAAGGCGTGGATCAGCAAAACGAGAGCAGCACATCTACAAGTTAAGAACATCTGCAACTCAAAACAATTGTCTTCAAGCCAACACCGAGGTCAGAATTTCCAATGCAAATATCAAGACAGTTCTATTGTACGGGGCCGAAACCTGAAGAACTACGAAATCCATCATCCACAAGATACAAGTGTTTATTAACAGTTGTCTACGCAAAATACTTCGAATCCGTGGGCCGGACACTATTAGCAACAACCTACTGTGTTAGAGAACAAACCAGATCCCAGTGGAGAAAAGAATCAAGAAGAAGCACTGGAAGTGGATAGGACACACATTGATGAAAGCACACAACTGCGTCACAAAACAAGCCCTCACATGGAACCTCAAGGTCAAAGGAAAGGAAGAAGATCAAAGAACACATTACACCAAGAAGTGGTGACAGATATGAGAAGAATGAACAGGAACTAGGTAGAACTAGAAAGAAAGGCCCAAAACAGAGTGAGTTGGTGAATGCTGGTCTATGGCCTTTGCTCCATTGGAGGTAACAGGAGTAAGTGAATGAATGAAGTATGATACTTCTTAGCATTGAGCATTCGTGACCCTAACAGGTACTGAACCTAATAATTTTAAATCCAATATTATGCAGTTAAACGTTAAACTAACAACATATTTCTGACTTGAATCAGTCGCCTATATTATTACAATCATCATTAAATATCATAATAGCCAATTTTAGAAGTCTTAAGTGTACACGGTTAAGGAGTACTATGTTGTGACGTATAAACTATAATATACTCCATGATTTTCAGTACCTATCTTAACTGAAATCAATCCATAGAGAATATCGCCTACACATCTTTATGTCAATACAAATTTCTTGATTCTGACTGCTTCGATTGTATACTGTTATATTTACACTTTTATATAATATATTATCAGTCACAATGAACATTCAGTTGGATTAACTATGTTTATGCACAAAACTATCTCTATGTTACATTACTCATAAACAATTACATCATAGATTCAACTCCATTATGTAACAATGATGTATATTCATAACTGACCATACTCAATATCAGCATAATTACTGTTGGGATATTCGGAAAAATATACCAATAATTATCATGTTAAGTCTAGTGGTGTCCTTGGACTTTAAATGGACATTCCCTGTTTGTTAAATATTGTACAAATGTTGATTTCTATTTTATGGTACGATGTGGTCTGTTTGGCTGGTATATAAACAGAATATGTTTGAAATATAACGATTCATATCTCAGAGTCTGAGGTTGGTGTTCTGGACTCAACTGGCTGGGCTAGACAGCGGAGCAGGGCCAGTCGGGACTCTAGGTCGTCCTTGCGTGTTTTGCGTGTCATTGATCCGATCGATAATACGCTTCACTCTAATCTGCAGTCACAAGACACAACAATTACTCATATTGTCCTCCAAAATATTTTTAAATACTCATATGAACAACCTTTTCTTGATAAAGTTTTGTTCTCTGATCTAAATGCTTCTCTATCATTTCATGACCTACCTTCTTATCAAAAACACAATACACCCTAAAGATGGAAAGACAAAAGAAAGAAAAAGAAAAGAAAAACGATGGTGAATTTGATATTGTTTATGATTAGACTTTAATTTATGATAATCTTACCAATATCTTATTATTTTCTATATGATAACATTAAGTAAATTTGATAATCCACTGTGTTTTTTTTCTTTTTTTCTTTTTTCTTTTTTTCTTGCAATAAGCATCAACTGTTTTTCTTTCTTTTTTCTTTTTTTCTTTTCTTTTCGTCAATCATATAAATAAAATAAAATAAGCGATCAAGTCGATATTGTTTTTGTTATGTAGATATCCTTTAAGCAATATAACAACTATCATATACATATCTTATCAAATAAATAACCTGAAATTGGGTATACAAATTGTATATATATATATATAGATTCTGTGTTTCATATAATGGTAGAGTAATGTCCTTAGATGACCTTTATTCATTGAAGTTTAAAAACAGGAAAGAAAATATAGAAGAAAAAGAAGAACAAGAAGAAACAGAGTTTGATATTGATCTATTGTAAACATTACAAAACAAAAAAAACAAATGACAAATATGATTCGTAGTATAAGAGTTGTGGAGATTATTAAGTTTTCTATTGAGATCACGAACCAATTGATGTTAGACCACCTTTGGAAACCTGAAAGCACTGGATGGCCGTTTCGTCCTATTGTACGACTCCTCAGCAGTGCGCATCCAAGATCCCGCTCGCTGATTGGTTGATGTTAGACACTATCACCATTGCATGCCGTCTCAGTGGTCCAGTAGGTTAAGCGTTCACGCGCGAGACCGAAGGCACTGGGTTCGAATCCCGCGGGGTGCGGGATCGTGGATGCGCACTGCTGAGGAGTCCCATAATAGGACGAAACGGCCGTCCAGTGCTTCCAGGTTTTCAATTGTGGTGGTCTAACATCAATCGGTTCATGATCTCAATCAAAAAATATAATTTGTTTAAGAAAATATAAAAAAAGAAGAACAAAAAGAAACAGAGTTTGATATTGATCAATTGTGAAAATCACAAAACAAAAAACAAATGACAAATATGATTTGATTACAAAAGTTGAAATCTATTTCATTATGAACAATAAAGGAAAGTAGGTACAAATTGGGAAATTTCTATAGTTGAGATCATGAGTCAATTGAAACTAGACCAATATGGAAAACCTGGAAGCATTGGACGGCCAACTTGTCCTAGTATGGGAATTCTCAGCAATGAGCATCCACGATCTCACCTTGCAAGATTCGAACCCAGGATATATCGGTTTTTGCGCGTGAACGCTTAACCTTTAAACCATTGAACCGACATTCAATGGTGTTAATGTCTAACTTCAACTAATTCACGAAATTGAACAATAATCCACCATTGTCTTCAGTGAGTTACTATCTCATAAATGACCTGAAAAAATTGAATGGCCTTTTTGTCCAAGCATGAGACTTCTCCAAATGTGAATCCATTAATTTTCAGGTGAAACTATGAATACAACCTTGGTTTATGATTTTCAACTATAAATAAGTATGTATATACGAAATATATCTTTGATAATCAAGTAATATCATTCAGAACTACCTTCATACTTGAAATTGTCACTATTACATAATGTCCAGCATTTTGAAATCTGAATGAATTATGTAAAAATTTATTTCATGTCAATATACTTGATGACTGTTATTTATTTACCCAAAACGCCCTGGTACGGCAGAGGGTGAGGAAAGTCAACTCTCCATCTTGAAATGCTCTCACATGGCCACATGTATACATCCATTGTCAGGGAAGTTCTACTCACTGCCTTGTCGCACTACGGGTGTTGTCCAGAAAATTGAGAGGACGAAAACCGAATGTCCGACACTTTAATCGGGTTAGTGGATATGAAGGATCCACCTAGGAGAATTGGAAAATCCTCATTTCAAACCAATGGTATACACGGGCTCCAGGATGCTAAGGAAACAAATGGTGTATGAACATATTATTGGTCACCAGCTAACATGGGACTGCATCTCCGAACGATGCTTCACTGCAATGTGGATCAGACCCTTGAGTTGAAGGCTTCGGGTATGGCCCACTAAGAAAACTACCTGCTTTGGTTTGGGAACCCGGGCAGTATCACAGACAACACACAAATCAAGTGACTTGTGTGGCGCATGTGTATTTGGCACCCCTTTGTACCAATATTTATGTTTCCAAATAAATAATAAATAAATAAAACTAAATCAGTAACATTGTTTATTAAGTTTCTATCATGAGATTCCTAAACAAAGTAACTAGTTAAAATACTTACTTACTTACTTACGCCTGTTATTCTTAATGGAGCATAGGCCACCGACCAGCATTCTCCAGCCCACTCTGTCATGGGCCTTCTTTTCTAGTTCCATCCAATTCTTGTTCATTTTACTCATGTCTATCTCCATTTTCCGGCGTAATGTGTTGTAACCAGAAAAATAACTCATTAGAAAATCATGACAGAATAATATTAAATATGCATATGATTTATGTACAAAATCAGTTCGTTGACTAAATAATTGCAGCACATAACATTTCATCATTGAACTCAACATTCAAAACTCTTCACTTACTATGATTTGGACAGATAAGATAGTATCCAATGCTTTCGTACAGAAAAAACTTATAATTCAAAGCCAACTTCACGCACACACCAGTAGGTACATGATCATGTTCCGAAACCTCCAAATAGTAAGTTTTTTTTTAAAGAACTGAATCACTTATCTAATTAATAAGATTTTAGAAACACCATATTATCTTTATAAAAAAATATCCATTTTAAAAACGTTTCGCATTTTTGTTTTAGCTTATTATCTCTGGTTTGGTTGGAACGTGTATTTGTTTTCAGCATAGAATTCCTTCAATATCACCACAACTAATGAATATTATTCAAGTAAGTTTTATGAATATTTTCCATAGTATTTTTTTTCATTGATAATTTAAGATTATATTACTGTCTTAGCAGCCATAGGTGTTAAGATCTAGCTTCAATCAATCAATGATGCTAGCTCAGTTGTATAGAGGTAAAGAGTTTACACGAAACTGAAAGTCTTCAATTCGAGTCCCGTATGACGGACGGCCGTTTCGTCCTAGATGGAACTCCTCAGCAGTGCGTATTTACGATACCACCCCACGAGATTTGAACCCAGGACCTTTGATACTTCCAGGTTTTTCATGGTGGTTTAGCTTTCATTGAATCATGAACTCGACTACTACAATCACCAAAAAAAAACCCCTTCTGAGAAATAACAGAATTGAAACCAGTTCAGTTAATTCATGCTTAAATTCATTATAAGATGATTGTAAATTTGTTTAGATCACAAACACTTATTGAAACTAAACATTTTAACGTAAGTTGAACTTCACAAATTATGTACAGAATGAAACATTCCCTAAGTCTTTTCAGTACTTCACTTTGAAAGGTTCACCTGAAATGTTTAGTTTAAAAAAACGAACTGTCGGTTCACCTAACAACGAAAACAGAGAGCGCGTAACAACATAGCGATAATTACTAAATTATGTAAATCAGGTCTACCATAAAGCATGTGTCATATAACACAGTGTTATACTGTTCATGTTAGATATTATTCAAAAGAGTTAAGGTTACTAGGGACAGTGTTAACGTAAAGTGACAGCATGTAGGTGGTTTTACTTAAGGAATTCACTAATAAAAATAGCTAAACACTTAAAGTTCCTGTAATATCACTTGTAGAATGAGATATACTTACAGGTGCTAGGACATTTAATGCATTTTCAAAGGAGCAGTGGGTGAGATTACAATTTATGGACAACCTTTGAACGGTGCTCAAGCGGCCTTCAAACTGATTACCGAATAACTAGGACTAAATAAAGGTTATAAACCAGTATGAAGAATTTGAATGATGATTTACAGTTGATGATTAAGGTTAAATATTAGATTTGAAGTTTTCATCACGAACTGACATCAGCTACAATGCCAAGAGTGAATTTCTTGCCAAAATTCCAAACTTGTTATCTTTTACCTGATTGGTTCATCCATAAATTATACATCAGTGCAGCGAACAAATAACGAGAGTGATTTTATCGTATGGATAGAAAAGCAAGATTCTGCGATACAACACAACATGCACCAATCCAGTCACAATTGACGGAGCAGATTTGGAAGATGTAAAAAGCTTTACATATCTGGACAACATCATTAATGAACGTGATGGATCTGATGCAGATGTGAAGGCGCGGATTGGCAAAGCAAGAGAAGCATATTTACAACTGAAGAAAATCTGGAAATCAAAACAACTGTCAACCAACACCAAGATCAGGATTTTCAATACAAATGTCAAGACAGTTCTACTGTATGGGGCAGAAACCTGGAGAACTACAAAAGCCATCATCCAGAAAATACAGGTGTTTATTAACAGTTGTCCACACAAAATACTTCGAATCCGTGGGCCGGACACTATCAGCAACAACCAACTGTGGGAGAGAACAAACCAGATCCCAGTAAAGGAAGAAATCAAGAAGAGGCGATTGAAATGGATAGGATACACATTGATGAAAGCAACCAACTGTGTCACAAGACAAGGCCTCACATGGAATCCTCAAGGCCAAAGGAAAAGAGGAAGACAAAAAACACATTACACCGGGAAATAGAGATAGACATGAGTAAAATGCACAAGAATTGGATGGAACTAGAAAAGAAGGCCGATGACAGAGTGGGTTGGAGAGTGCTGGTCGGCGGCCTATGCTCCATTAGGAGTAACAGGCGTAAGTAAGTAATTAAGTAAGTAATAGATTATTCCAGAGTGTAAAAAAATTCACATATAAATTAATTCATATAAAGAAATAATTTAGAATTAGTTTATTTCACTAATGACAAAGAATTACTGATGTTGTAGTGAATAGTAACTGTATACTGAATTACATGGTTCAATATAAAGAAGATTTTAGTTCAAGTCTCCTCTTCCAAAAAAAAAAAGGATCGAGTCAAATAAAGAGTTCATTTTAACTATTTAATATCAATTGCTGATTAAGAAGTTAAACCAACCAAGTAAAGGATTTTAGATTCGAGTTCACTTATAAAAAGTTGATTAGTTAACCATATCATCAAGTGACAATCATAATAGTTTCAACATGATCAAATTTCTTCTATTAAATGTTTTAATAAATTATTTTATTTTATTGAATTTTATCATTTTAGATTATATCCGGTTTATTATCATTAAGTTGTTTTATAATATGTCTTACAACAAGTATATATACTGGAAAAAAAGGTAGTTTAATTGCATCTTATGATAATACATGTAAAATAATATCAATAGAACAATTATTAGAACAAAGACAACAACAACAACAACAACACCACACCCAACAACAACAACAATATCACCACCACCCCCAACAACAACAAATTACATTCAATACAAAAATAATCAATAATTCAATTAGTAATAATAAACCATTTTTAAAACCATGTTGTATAGAACTCAATAAAAATATCTGTGAATGTTATATTAATTATAATAAACGTATAGAATATTATCATTATATATCATGTCATTTATTATTTTCCTCAATTAAAGATTATATAATATTACAATCAGCATTAATGTGTATTGGTTCTGGGGTATCATTATGGTTATGGTTATTATTTATAGAAAATAAATTAAAATATTATATGAATAAAAAATATACAAGAATAAGTTTTTCATCAACACATAGTTCAATCCCTGAAATATTCATTGAACAATATGATGAAAAAACAAGTAGTATAGATATAAATGAAATAGAATGAATAATCGATTTTAGATTATTTAGAATAATATAGATGATCTACTGTCTATGAATCTGTAAACAATATGAAATACTATTGAATTGTATATAATGAACATAATTAATGATTTGGTGTGCTGTTAAGAAATTGGAGGTTTGTGTATGATAAAGAAGATATTTTTAATTGCTCCACCATCTCCTCCTCCTCCTCCTCCTCCTCCTTCTCCCCGTCCTCGTCCTCGTCCTCCCCTGGCCAATTTCAAAGCCAATTCATCAATAGTAATTTTGACTATTAAATGATCTATTTTCTATTCATTATTATCTTTCATGAGAATAAAGTAAATAATCAATAATCAATAAATGTGTAGTAGATTATAGATCACAAATTTCAGGAACTTGTTATGAATTCAAATGATCTGTACTTTCACTTATTTATTTATCTTTAAAATTTGAAATCTGTCAAGATTCTGATTATTTCGGTAATCTGTAAACAATATGAAATACTATTCAATTGTACATAATTAATATAAGAAATGAGTCGATAATAAAAGAGGAAACCGCTTTGCGTATAAAAAAAAACAATCTCCAACTGCTCCTCCTCCTCCTCCTCCTCCTTCCATGGCTAATTTCAAAGCCAATTAATCAATAATAATCTTAATTATTGAATGATCTATTTTGTATTTATTATAATCTTTAATGATAATAAAGTAAATTAATCAATAATCAATAATTGTGTCCATTTCTATTTGATCAAATCAATAAAATTTTATTATAAATGTTTACAATGGAAACAAACAAAACTGTGTTGGTTAAACAGTTTTCCATTTCATTATTGAAACAAACAATGTTCTCTCTATATATATATGTGTGTGTGTGTGAAGACATGTAACTAACTGTAAATTTTATAATTATATATATTATGTAATTGATTATTGAATCTTTATTGATTATTGTATTATTGAATTACTATCGATTATATTTCTTGTTGTATGTTTAACTTTTGCAAATATACCTCATAATAATAATAGTAATAATAATAATAATAGTTATTATTATAGAAAATTTCTTTGTCAAAATATCCTAACTCATTACAATATGGTAGTTTCATCAGATAATTGAAATCAACTAATGGAGTAAATCCCTCAGTTAAATAAATGGGAGGGATCTTGGATGCGCAGTGCTGAGGAGTTTCATACTGGGACGAAACGGTCTTTCAATGCTTCTAAGTTTTCAATGGTGGTCTAGCTTCAATTGACTGATGAATTCAATAATTAAACTGCTATAATATCCACAAAACCGCTCTCTGAAATTAAACATTTAACCACAGGTATTGACATAAATGACAAATAATTTTTTTAATCAAAATAGTATCATTACTCTATCATTATCAATTTACGTTGATTTCTTCCCTTTTAAGACTTACCGTTAATCACTACAACAAAATGGAGGATTATCTTGGAGAGAGGTTTAAAGAAGCGACCACTCGACATAGATGTAGAACTGAACAATCTTTTGGAAATAAAGGATGTAACAACAAGGTGTAATATTATATAAGTTAGTTTCCTCGCCCCCACCTTTGGATCTAAATTGAAAATAAACAATATATGACCTAAAAACCAAAAAAATTATTGTGTAAATTCCCATTTTGCCATTTGGTAAATAAAGAAGGAACGAATTGAGCGAAGAAATTTCTTTTCAATTAGTTTTTCATCATGGCTCTACACTAATATATATACGTTTTACAATAATAATATAATACTCATCGAGTGGATACGTTACGTAATAATAATTACATAATGACATTTAAATTAACATTGATTAATTGGAAGAAAGAGGATGATTAATATTCAAAGTGATCAAGAAGTTGCTACGTTGCGTAATGTAAGAGACAAAGAAGGAACAGAATTTTAACGGATGGTCAATAGGATGGTAGTTACGTAAGAATCAAGAGATGAATGTTGAGAAGTTATTAAGTTCAAAAGCAACAGAAATAAAATTACAAAAGTTTTAAAAAATTACAAAAAATGGAAGAAGTATGAAAAATAGTTCTTTTGAAGGAAATCTTAAACTGATGGCCAGGGCAGGGAAAGTGGTTGTACGAATCTCTTTTGTATGCAAAGGTCAGGTTTGTGAACATGGATTGCGATGGCTTCCGCAATGTGCAAGAGGCGCACTCGTAAACCATGTGGCAAATTAGATGGGATATTGTAGATAACCTTAAAAGCTTTATTCAATTCGACTTGATGACCTGTGTCAACCAAGTGAGAGAGAATAGAACTTTTAATCACTTTTACCTGTCCTTTGTTTAACCACGACGGATGATGTTCAGTAATGCGATGACGGACTTGCCGAATTGTACGCCCAATATAACTGGCTCCACAGGAGCAGTTGAAACGATAGATACACATAGATTTGGCGAATTCAGGCAGTCTGTCTTTGTTGGCTGTTCTTATCTTAGGATGGTTGTAGAAGATTGCATTTAATCTGGCAGCATTATATGTTTTTTGTACGGCTCTTCTTAGTTTCTGAGTTAAGGTTTCTTCAATGGTGTCATTTATGAATTGTAGTTTTATGAATAGTACGTTCTTATGGACGGTGGGTATCTTTGTCCTTGTTTTCTTCTCCATCATATGTTTGTCGATGAATTTCATGGGATACCCATTCATGCTAAGTAGGTTCCGAATATTATTCAATTCTTCTTCGATGGTGTCTTCAGAGCAAATCATTCTAGCCCGATGTGTCAAGATTTTTATTAAGTTCCTTTTGTATCTGATTGGAACTGCACTATAGAAAAGAGTGTATTGTCCTGCTGCAGATTTTCTGTGTACCCCTCTTTTTAAAGTTCCGTCTGCTCTTCTTTTTAGCTGGACATCTAGAAATGATATGCTGTCGTTCTGTTCATCTTCTGAATATTAATAATCCTCTTTCTTCCAATTAATTAATGTTAATTTAAATGTCATTATGTAATTATTACGTAACGTATCCACTCGATGAGTATTATATTATTATTGTAAAACGTATATATATTAGTGTAGAGCCATGATGAAAAACTAATTGAAAAGAAATTTCTTCGCTCAATTCGTTCCTTCTTTATTTAAAAAAATTATTGATGTGTAATCTGTAGTAGGTCACAGGTCTTCCAGAACAATACTCAGGTTTCGAAAGCTTGTAGTGAACTATCATAAGTAAATTCGAATCGTCTCTCCTTCCTTTTACTTTGTATCTGAAATCTGTTAAGATTCTGGTTACTTCGTAAGCATCTATCCATTCTTTCGGGAGCCAAGTAAGGAATAAAACTGTTGCGCACTCTATTTTCACTCTACTATTTCCTTCAGTTCTTTCCGAGTAATTGTATAGCCAGTACAGCTTTATGACCGCCTCTAATTCTAATAAGAAATCCTGATGTATTGCTGATGTTTATGAGCCATTCCGGAGTTTCATGTCTGTTTCTATTCAGTACATTCACAATCAGACACAATTGCAACATAAACATCACAAGAATCCCTCGATATGCGATGAGGATATCTTATCCATTCAACATTCATTGGAAACAACTTAGAAACTTCAAAAAAGTGACAAATTGTGCATCACATTATCAATAATTAAAAATAAAGAACATTGAAGCGAACAATCGTTTTTAATAACTTCACAATTAGAAGTTCATAATTATTATATCACAAAAGCCTAATTAGGTCTTGCTAATAAACTAAATAATGTTATTAATTACTTGAATCTTCCCATTGATATTCAGGACTACAATTGATCAATCTCTTATCATCACATTGCAAAAGCAAGTGGCTATCTGAACTCAGTTGCTAAGTAAATAACACGATGGGGTTCAAAACGAGCGGTAAAGGGTTCGAGTTACAGAGTAAACATTAAATCTAAGATGCAGGTACATCCAGCTGACGAGTCCAAAATAGAATGAAACACGTGTTCTGAATTTCGCTGCTAGCCACTATTCATCTTTGCTTATAAACAATGTTAACTTTGTATCTTATATGGTTTAAATACTACAAAAAATGTATCATCTGTAGGTAAGAAAATTTATTTACAAGAGGTTAGGAGGATTCGTAGTAAGCTATCAAGTTATAATTAACGTAATAACAAAATAAAACATGGATTAACTACATAGTAAGAAAACTTTAGTCAATAGAGATAATAATAATAATGCCATGTGAATACAATATGTGAAAAAAAAAGAGGTTTTATCGAAGTAATTATAAACAGAAATTTGTGTGAATTGGGAATGATTAATATGTAAGTTAAGAATGGGATACAGTAGAGAGAGACATAAAAAAAAATCAGTGGGAGGTAACAGGTTTACAATGCCTAGTTTAGATAACATGGTAGACCAAAAGAGAACCTAAGAGTTGAACATACCTGTTTAGGATAAATCGGTTAGGTCTCCTGAATTTGATTAGATAATTATTTACTCTATTACTAAATCTAACATGTTTTTAGAGGTTTCCAACGGTAAAATTTTACCGATAAACTTATGAACAATGTCGTTTTCTGTGCATAAACAAGCCTTGAAGACAAGTTTTTATACTTTACGTTTTCTACATCATTTGAAGTTCAGCAGTCGGAGAATTTTGGGGTCTAGGATGCAGCTACAAAGTCGTTGTTAAGCGTTGAAGTAACAGACTTATCAGGGTCTATTTTGATAAGTCTTGTTAATTTGAACGCTTTATTCGGTTCCTAAGCTATTCTGGTAACCCGCAAGCTAGAACTACGCAGCGACCTGAACTCGAGAGGAAAGGTGCAAAATAAGCGAAAAACACTTTATTCCAAAGGTTCGTTTTTGTACAGAAAAACACGGGTATTTATCGATGTTAACATTTGTTAAATCAACATCATATTTTGGCCAATCCGCTAAAAGACATATTATGCTACTGACCAATAGTAGCACGCCACGTTGATATTCTAGAAAGCACCATCATGCTTTGATTGGCGAGGACTCTTCGGCTCCTTTAGAGCCTCTGGAGGCTCTGTTGTAGTTCTCGGAAAGTCGACTCAACA